TTTAGATTTGCATTAGTTTTGTTAACAGGCTTTTCTGTGGTTATAAAATATAGAAATTCTCCTATTAAAATGTAAATTTTATTATATATATACTACAAATACAAATATGTACCTTTTTTAAAAAAGAATTATTTTATTTAACTTTATTTATTTACTTTTAATTTGACCAGAGAGGGACAGAGTGAGAGAGAGAGGGAAAATGAGAAAAGCAAGCTGCCAGATTCAGGACTTGAATCATAGTGAATCTTGTGGGAGTCCAGCGCCCTTAACCACCATGCCACTTCTGGCCCCCACAAATATGTACCTTTATTACAGAATGAACTTTGGTCTTTTTAAGAAATACGTGAACTTGGACTAGCTGATGGCATGGTAATTAATGCAGCTAAATCCCAACGGCACAGTTCATGTTCTGGACCCAGCAGCTTGAAAAATACGCTGTGCATGTGTGCCTGCATGCCCAAAATACAAGGGGAAGAATGGAGAAGAAACAACTGTGGCATGGCCATCACCAGTAGGGGTGCTTTCTCACTTTTTCTCTCCCTCTTCCCTTCTCTCTCTCTATCCAACGACCACACACTCCACAGCAAAAATTGAAAAAGAGGAAAAAAGTTGAATTAACTTAATGATTCAAATTATAAATAACTCTATAAGAAATTTATAATGCAATCTATTCCAGGATCCAGTAGTAGGACTCAAATCAGCACTGCTTTGTAATATTCTAAATTTGGTTGAAAAAATAAGAATCTGTGTTTTTCTCCATGTCAAATGAGGAAAGCCTATTTAAAATTCACCTGGTCTCTGGGAACCAGCAGTTAGCGTAATGGCTATGTCGCTGGACTCCCACGTAGTCGACCGCGGTTCGTGTCCCGGACCCGGTGGCTTAAAACTCACACCGGGCGCGTGTGCGTGTGTGCCCAAGATCCCGAGAGGAGAATGGAGGAGAAGGGATTGCAGCGTGACCATCCCCCCGGGGGGTGATTTCTCGCTTTCTGTCTCTATGTCTCTCTCTGTCTGTCTGGCGAGTGCATGCGCCCTACAGTGAAAATCTCTCCAAAAAAAAAAAAAATTCACCTGGTCTCTGGCAATTTAAATAACTACAGTTTTCAAATATGAAAAGTTTATGTTCTGAGGAGGATATGACATGCTGACCTATTAAAGTCTGAATATAGTGTCAAGAGTAATTTAAGTCAATGAACTGATAGACAGATTCTTACAATGTCAGCAAGAAGAGATCATTATTCCTAACTGTCGTGGAAACAAAGTAATTTTAGAAAGATGAAAAATGACTTGCAAATAGGACTTCTTTTGCTAGTTATAACAATAAATATGTTTTAATCATTTGGGTCTGGCAGCCTCTGTTATTAATGAAAAACTAGCATTATTATTTTTAAATTACAGGTAGGGAAGTAATTTTTTTAAAATGCCCATTGAAAATTTAATGAAAAGAAATCATTGTGTCTTTAGTACTGGTCAGATTATAGAAATCAATACTTTTTTTTTTTTTTAATTACAGTATAGCACTTACCCAACTTTTTGCTTCTATCTTTACTCTCCTGGTAAACTCATTATGTGTTTAAAGGGAGAGAGAACAAAACAGGTAAAGCTGTAGCAAAAGGTACAAGGATACAGTCCCTTCCTGGAAAGAGGATTTTGTGGCGAACCATTTCTCCCATAATGCATCCCACAGACCATATATCCACTAGAACAGGAAAGAGAGGGAAGTGAAGAAAAGGGAGGAAAGTACAGTTAACTACTATATATACTTGACTTCTGAAGGAGGAGGAAAAAGAACAGTTTGATTAGATGTACAATTATAACCTCCCACCAATAGTTGGCCGAAAAGTAAATTAAAACCAGCGCTGTGTCTAGCAGGAGAACCCAAATTAATTAATAAAAATTACATAACTTTATGGTGCCTGAGGGCGCCTCTTTAATGGCGTGAAGAGGTGTCACTGGCAACATGAAGGAAGAGGCAGCTAAGCCAAACCATCTCCATGACAGGCGATGGCTAAAAGCCACCAAAGGTTTCCAATTTGCTGAATGGAGAGAAAATAATTTAACCTGCAGGAGTGGCTGTTTCTGCTTTCTATTCTATTCAGGTATGTAGGATAGGGCTACAAGAGACCACTTTCATTTTATCGTGTTTTATTGGTCCAAAACAAGGTATTTTCAACACAAAAAAAAAAAAAAAAAAAAAACAAGAAATTAGGAAATGTCTGTGAAGGCATTGTAATCCGTGATCCTCAGGACTTACTTTATCCTTCAGAAGTTATCCTTGTCAATAAGTATCAATTTTAGCTTTTATGTGAAATATTTCAAGAAAAAAGTAATATATAAGTTAACACATGTAAAGGAGTCATCTGACTATCAAGTGAAGAAAAGGTATTACAGGTGTTAAAAAATTATTATGTACATTTATTTATTTTTGATGATTATACTTGTTAACCAAAGGTGCTTCACTGTCTTTTACCAACATTCACCCCTTTCCAACTTGCTTTCTATAAAGGACAAAGGGAACTTTGAGGCAAAACATTAGGCTGAGTTGCTCCAGGGGCAGGAAGGCGGGGCTGGGTGCACAGGACAGCTGAGCATGCCTGATGTGGGAGCAAGCGGGTTTTTCTGCATGATAACCATCGGGAGGGGGGTGCAGCGCAAGGGTGCTACGCATGCCTTCTATGTGGACTTGGAGAAGCCAAAATCTAAGGCAGCAACTTGCATCCCTTTCTACTGAGGGAAGGAATAAGGAGTCAAATACCTGCCATCTGCATGGCTTGATGATTATCTGAAGAGCCAGAATAGGCAAATTCAAACTCCCTCTTGCCCCTGCCCACCCCCAGGCTCCATATACATCCTAGATTCTTGACTTCTCTTTTTTGATTCCTCTTTAATGTTTTTTTTTAATAACTCATGAATAGTGTATACAAATATCTTCTTTTGTGACTAGACTAGATATGGTTTTGCCTTCAGTGGAGGGCTAGATTCACCTCTTCTGGGTGCCAGAACTTTGACATTGCCCCCCGGGGTAAACCTGACCGACTTGAGAGTTTATTTCCCTTTGTCCGAACAATCGCAAAAAATATTGACTGTTTTTCAGTCACAAGTACACAAAGTAGTTTTTTAAAATACTTCAGAAGCAGGGAATTTTAATCAAAGTATCCTGTAGAGGGACAAGCAGGTGGCATGGTGGTTAAGGCGCTGGACTCCCACATGGGTTGACCATGGTTGGAACCCCAGACTTGGTGACTTGAAAGTCACACCAGAGTGTGTGCAAGCATGCTCAAAATCTGAGAGGAGAATGGAGGAGAAGGGACTGCACCCCGTGTTGGGTGATTTCTCACTTTCCCTCTGTCTCTCTCCAGTGAGCATATATGCACTATGGTAAAAACTAAAATAAATAAATAAATAAAAAGTACCCTGTAGCATCTATACATAAAAATAATCAGATAATTATTTTCAAAGAATTTATAAAAATAGATTGCTAGGGGGACCAGCAGTTAGCGTAATGGCTATGTCGCTGGACTCCCACATTTTCAACAGTGGTTTGAGTCCCGGACCCAGTGGCTTAAACTCATGCCGGGCGCATGTGTGTGCATGCCCAAGATCCCAAGAGGAGAATGAAGGAGAAGGGATTGTGGCATGGCCAACCCCCCTGGGGGGTGATTTCTTGCTTTCTGTCTGTCTCTCTCTGTCTGTCTGGCAAGCGCATGCGCCATATAGCAAAAACCTCTCCAAAAAAAGAAAAAAAGCTGTGAGAATAAAAAAAATAGATTGCTAGGAGCTAAATAGAACTGCATAAAACATAAGTATTAAAGGTACATTGGGTCGGGAACCAGCAGTTAGCGTAATGGCTATGTCGCTGGACTCCCACATAGTCGACCGCGGTTCGTGTCCTGGACCCGGTGGCGTAGAACTCACACTGGGTGCGTGTGCGTGCATGCCCAAGATCCCGAGAGGAGAATGGAGGAGAAGGGATTGTGGTGTGACCATCCCTCCTGGGGGGTGATTTCTCGCTTTCTGTCTCTATGTCTGTCTCTGTCTGTCTGGCGAGCGCACGCGCCATATAGCAAAAACCTCTCCAAAAAAAAAAAAGAAAGGTACATTGGGTACATATACACAATCCTAGTTTGGAATTATTTTAATTCCTGAACACATGGGAAATGTTTTTAAATATGGTACATTACTTTGCTATGAGAGCATGTTTTCTAACAGGTATCTTATAAATTCATTTAATCCAATCAGAATATATTATGCAGAGTCTTTTAACATCCTCTTTTAAAAAGTGTTCATGAATATTAGATTTTCTTTGTGAAAGCAATAGTACGAAATTTAATATTTTCTCTGTTTATGGTTTTTGAAATTTATAAATAAGTACTAGGCAATTGCTAGTCCAAATATTACTTACAGCTTTAATATTAAAGAATTTTTATTCAACTTCTAAATTTTAGACAATTCCAAATTTACCATTCATTTGGTGATCGAGAACATCCTCACTCTCAGTATTTGCGGTATCTTTTTATTCGTCTTTCCCTAGTACCAGAGTCAGACCAGCTAAGGTATGACATAAAAGTCAAAGGGCTAAATGCAATATATTTCTTCCTCTTTTCACATTCTGAGCTAAACTGCAACCAAAATAGCAATTTTTCTCCATGTCTACAGCATATGTGCTAATCAGTATCCACTTGACTGTTTAATCAGACTCCATTTAAAATTCTTTTTAGCTATAACATTTTAGAGCTCTTCTAGCAAAGCTTATTTCTCAGAAACATCCTTCACATTTTTAATGAGTGATTATTCCCAGTAGCAATTAAAAAAAAAAAAAACAATCTGAATATGAAAGCTAACAGCACTGTTTTATTTCCAGGCGGGGGGGGGGGGGGTTGTGTGTGTGTGTGTTTTTTTTTTAAATCCTTTACATGAAAGAGAACATTACTGTTGGCTATCTAAAATATGTACACATTTTCTTCATGGTTTTCAATACTGCTACTCAGAAGCTTCCCTACCGTTCTCCTTGTAGCCCATGCCCAGAATGACTTCAGGGGCTCTGTAATAACGTGTCACCACATACGGAGTCATCATGAAGCTTGTGCCGGCTGTCCTGGCTAGTCCAAAGTCGAGGATTTTCAATGTGCAGTCAGACTTGACCACAATGTTACTTGGTTTTAAATCCTGACAATAGGAATAAGGGGACAAACCAAAAAGCTAGCGTAAATAGAATATGATTTCCATCTAGTCAATCAACATGGCAGTCTTGCAAACACACTGAAGGGATCCCCTTGGCCCATAGAGCCCTAAGTAGTACATATGATTACCATTGCAAAGAAGTTTACTATTAGGTTTTGGATTTAAAACAATATTCCCAGAAAGTATTTTAAGCCCAGAAGAGAATTGTACATATTATCATTTTTACAATTTAGGCTCATCTTGAGAAGAGTTTTTAGAAAAAAATCAAAGCTAGGGACCAGCAGGTAGTATGGTGGCTAAGGTGTTGGATTCCCACATGGCCAATCATGGCTTGAGGCCTGGACCCAGTGGCTTGAAAATCATGCTGGGCTCATATGTGTTCATGCCCAAATTCCTGAAAGGGGAATAGAGGAGAAAAGATTGCAGCGTGGGCATCCCCCCAAAGGTTGTCACTTTCACTTTCTGTGTCTCTTCTGGCGAGAGCATGCACCCTATAGCAGAAACCTAAAAAGAAAAAAAGAAAATATCTTTCATTTATTGTCATCTGTTAGGTTTCTCCATAGGGCAATATCAACCTTTTAACTTATATTTCATTTCTAGGCCTGACAGAAGAGCAGACCAGGGCAGCTGTCTTTATGTAGCCAGGAATGAATCACAGAAATACACTGTCTTCTTTCAGCTGCACATATGACCTCTGCCAGTCAAGGAGCTAGAAAGTACGAGGCTTCTCAGAAACTGACTCTGTGAGCTAAAACAAAACATTAAGTGAAATCAACTACGATATTCCTCCTACACATGAGTGAACTATGTATTAATTCTATTATCAGAGAAGTGAGGAAGTATATCATGTTTGACCAAGTCCCCCTACATGGAGAAGATAATCGGCAGTCCTCCTCTCATGTAGGCATCTCGGTTTTCGTTGGTGGTAGGCATCCTTACCCTGTGAATAATTCCAGCAGAGTGAAGGTGTTTGATACCACACAACATCTGGTATAGCAGGTAGGACATTCGCTCGTGGTCCAATTCCATCTGAATCACCTGACACAAGTTGGCATCCATCAGTTCCATCACTAAGTAACTAAAAGATAAATCCACAATGTTGGTTCCAGATCACGAGATCTACAAATTCCTTCAATCATGTCAGAATCCTCTCCTAAATCTACAAAGCTTCTGATATTTCCACCTCTGCCTTGGGCTTAATCATGGGAATGAAAAACTTCCACCCAGGGCACATGTTAGCTGTAGTAGCTACCACAGGCTGCTAAGAGAAGCAGCACTTATTAGTGTATGGTTCACACCCATCAACTTCGCACCTTCGTCTTGCTCTCACTTTTTCCTATATTCCCTC